TGACATGTAAATAAACCGACTGACGTTTTTACAGGAAATAGTGCTTTTTGCGTTCCTATGCACTTCTGCATCTGTTCTCCTTTTACTCTCATTTGAGAGAGTAAAATTGTAGTTTGACAGTTCCACAGATTTTAGTCCGAAGTTCAAAGGAACAGACTAATTGTGGCGAAAGTGCGCAACAGGGGCGTGCCTTCTCTTTTCATCCAATCAAAAAACGCACTAGGGCAAAAGAGAAGCCACGCCGCTGTTGCGCACTTTCGCTACAATTATCTTGTTATCTATAGATAACACGTAGAATATATATATAGATGTATACGTTCTTTGGTGGTAGGTGGGTCTGATTAAAACACACACCCCCTTTTTTGCCGGTGTTTTTATTATTTGACTTTAAATGTTTTCATAAGAGCAGCAAAGCATTCAAAGCGGAGAATTCTAATCTTGACTTGAAGTTTTTACATACAAAACCTATTGATGAAAAACATATTTCGGCCGCAACTGTTTTAGGCTGAACTGTCAAAAGGTAGTCATAAGCCATATGAAGATAATGACCCCTATCTCCTTCACTACAAAATATTTCAACTTCTTCTACCATCACGTCGGACAAATTATAAGTTTTCCGATTTGAGGAAGTTTTGAGTAGATTGACGTAAAAACTTATCTAACTTTTCGTTAAAACTCTCTGTTTCGTTTTCATAGCGACGCTATGAGTAAATTGATTTAAATATTCTCCACAATTGCAGGCCCAAACTGCAATTTAAAAGTACAGTTTCAAGCAATTGCAGACAAAACGGCATTTTATAAAAATCATACTTCAAAATTCATAAACAAGTTCTTACTGTAAATTCGATACTTAAAAATTTTCGGGACCCCGGGAATAATGCACGAAAATACCGAGATTTTCGGAACCTCTAAAACACCGGGATCCCGGGATCCCTAGCACGTACCCACCTTTACTTTCATTATTTTCTTTGTCTTTTTTAATGTATTTTTGTATGCACAGAATAATACACTCAAGAAGCACTTATTTCAACCCCAATCATTTCTGTGTGCAACTTCCGTGTGCAATTTGCGTTGAATTTGCCAATTTACTCCCAACCAACCAACCGCCGTTAAAGAAGTTTCACTTCAAAAAAATTTTTTTTTTTTTTTGATGAAATTCGGTGTGTCCTGATCGTTTACGCCAAAAAATTTCCAATTTGGAAACAAACAAACACAACATTCTTGGTTCCACGTACTAAAGTTTATAAACTTTGAACAAAATTAGCACACACATTTATTTCATTTCCAAAGAAGTTCCTTTTTTTCATTTTAAAAATGGCAAAACAAAAACATACATATACAATAAATATCTGCATACTAAATTATGTCCATGATATGTATTTGCACTGAAACTTCCAATTCTACCTAAATTTTATACAACAAAAGCTATGCTAAGGCAAGTAGGATTTTGCCATCGCAAACGGATCTCGTCTAGCGATATCTCCACCTTCTTCCATTTCCATTTTATATTGCATATTATTTATTCAATTTACATATCAGAAAGTTTTCCTTGAGCTCTACAATAAAAAGTTAATAAATTTTACAGAAGGTTTGTCCAAAAATATGAATAGAAGCTGAACTCGTATCAGATATGACACGCATATTTAATGTTTTCTTGTCCTAAGTATAATTTAGCTCCCTTCCTAGGTCCTCTTTAAATATCCCTTTTTAAATTAAGCAATGGACAAATTTTCCACTCACAGAATTTTGTCGAATGTTAAGTGAAACTGTCTTACATATTTCACTAGATATATAAAAATTTAAAGCAATGCTTGACCACAGATATATTAAAAAGCTGGTCATCAATCAGATTGGCTTATTATATATTCTCACAATTAGAAGAATTAATTCAAATTACTTGCGACAAAATCTAAATTTTTGTTTACAAAATTATTTTTGTGCATTGTATCTACTTTAAGCTCATCCCATGACTGCAAATATGAATTGTTATTAAAAATTCTTTTTGTTTTGGGTTAGTTGGATATTTTGCTACGAATCTGCGTACTTACTTTTTCAGAATTCGCTAACCCGTTTTTACTACTTTTGGCCGCTGTAGTTCCATTGTGCGTCGGTGGCTGGTTGAGCTTTAACTTCTAACAATTTGGATTCAGTATTAACGGAAATATCGTAGTTTTTTGCATTTTTCGAAAATACCGTCATATGGGGGTGGGCGTTTTAGAACCGTTCTCCGTTGGATATACCACATTTCGTGGAGATATCTCATTATTTGCTCGAGTTATCGTGCAGTAAGCAGTGTACGCTACCGTTCCGCAATGTCTGGGTTCAAGCCCCTGTTTCGATTAACATAAAATAGAAAAAGTTTTTTCTAATAGCGGTCGCCCCCTGTACACAGTGTATTATTTCCATATTCTAGAAAATCTTTATGGAATTATTTTATATCGCCAAATTTCAAAACAACGCCAAGAATGTTTTTAGAAATGCCTGATAAAGACGAAACAATAACAACTACAAAATCTAAATGAAAGTGTAGGGCGGGACGGGATTTGATTTAAAGATTACCAAGCGCAATAATATTTAAGCTTGTATATTTGAAACTGAATATCAATGTCTAAGTTGTCGCGTTTTATGTGATTTATGCAACAAATGCTACAATACCATTTTGGTCTTGTTTTCTTAGATATGTTATTTTTAATGAATACACATTTTTGGGATTTTAGTAAACTAGGACTGAGTATTTCTTGTTAAGGTAAAACGATGTTAATTTATTTTAGCAATTTATTGATTTCATTAGACCTGCAATTTATTAATTTCATTGACCACGATTGTTCGATAAAGTTTGTATCTCAGTTTATTTGCCAATTCCTCTTAGACCTTAAACAACACAACTTTAGCTGCTGGAAAGTGGTGCTTTTGATGAAAGTTTATTTTTTTCGGGCGTACTAGGAATTTTATTCTCTTCGAGTTATTCATTTGCATTTGATCTCGACCGAGACAAATTTTTGTATTTTCGCATTTGAACAGAGACCTTTCCAATGGTACTCCATTTTTGTAAATAGAGCGAAAACCATTGAACTTATAACGGAATTTTGTTGACCCAACTTGACTTTTTTATCGATATTTGCCACGCCTATAATTCAAAAAAGAAAATATAATAAACATTATTTTTAAGTTCATTTCTGTCAGTTTATAATTCCTTGTTATAAGGAAAATCATTTTATGCATTTTAGCTTTTGTAGTTAGTTTAATATTTCAGCTTTTGACTGTTTAAAAATTACAGCTATATAATAGGGTGGCGTGACAGTACATCTAATGTGCATATGTATGTACAAAAACTTTTTATGCGTTAATCGAAAAAATGTTCGTTATATACATTTTTGGGGCATACATATATCAAGCATATTTATAATATTTTGGAGTCATTTTAACGACCATATAGTTAAGTTTTTTGTGCATATTTTTGTCTTCCCTAATTATAACATTTCATTTTTAACAGTTGGCTGCTCATCCTCCAAGCAAGTCATTGTCACTTTGAAAAATTAAATTTTTAGCTCCATGAACGTGCATTTAATAACACCAAGTAGTTTGCAAATCTTAAAATGTTTTCTTACCTGTAGTATTTAACTATAATATCGAGATATTTATCTTTAAAAAATGACGATGTTTCCACAATTTCCCGGGTCCCGCAAATAAACTTTTACATTCCTAGCAACCCCTCTAGCATTCTAAGGAATCTGGACAAACATGCCGATGACTAATTTTCAACTATAACTTGACTGTACCTACTAAAAATAGGAAAGAAAATCATGAAATTAGGTAAAATTGTTATTCTATATAACTGCTTAAGAGCTTACAACTTCCAATTAGTTGCAGCTTTTTCGACAGATATCCCATTGAAAATTCTGTCGAAAAGCTGCAAATAACTTTAGATTCTTCTTTATTTTGACTATAACTACGGGCCTTTGTTTCCCAAATCCATGACTAAGAATGGGAAAATACTGACTACATGTTAGAAAGTTTGTTAAGGGGCCGAGTTTCTCTTCCACATATGTACTGTGTGAAAATGTCCGCTCGTTTCGGTGGATATATTGCCCAAAATAGCCCAGAAATCATTCCCGCACTCAACAAGAGCGTAATAGAGAGCGAAAATTTGAACGTATTGGGTCGTAAGTGTCTTCCATTTCCTGCCCGAAACAGCCCGGATTTTTTCTACGGGTAAAAATGGATAAAGTGTCAAAGTGCATATTAGCTGTTTTGTGTTTACATGTTGCCTGCATTTACTTGGTGCTTTTGAGGAATAGTGAGTGTATTTTCAATCTTTATATTCTTAAAATCAAATTTGTGAAACAAAAATTCAATTTCCAAGAGTTTGCGTTTAAGTGACAAAAACCAAAACAACGCGAATCAATTGTTTCTCAAATTTTGGGCACGAAATATGGTTTTTTGCGTTCCCGTACTTCTGGATTATGTTCCATTTTTGAGAGCAAACTTTTCGCTTATTCTCTAATTACCGGATCCGCTCCGGATTGTTAGGGAAAGAACCTAATAATGATTTCCATAAGAAGTGTATTAATAATTTGATGATGGGCGCAGTGTTTCGCACAGGATAACATCAAGGCGCGTTATACAAATCGGTGGAGAAGCTCGGCCAAACACTAACACATTGCATAAAATTGTTATTATTAAATCGGTTTCTTCCGCAAAGGTTTTGCAAACAGATCGATAGATTTTTCATTGAAAATGTTTGAAAAATACTTACTGCCGGTTTCACAAAAGCAATTTAAGTGAACAATTATTTTTTAAATTGATTTCGAGAAACTGGCTCAACGAAAAACAAGTACTTTAGCTAAGTTGAATGAAAAAACTATAACTAGTAGATGTAGCGGCAAAAATATTAATCTGGTCATACTATAATAACGTACCTGCATACTTATGTGTGAATTTACTTGTGTATTTGAACATAATCAGCTTTATCATGAGTTTCATTTTACCTGAGCTGGTTCACTTTTCACTTTTCGTTTCCATGTATTTACTATGGGCGGAATAAAAATTTTCGGGTGAATTTTTATTCGGCCGAATCTCAAGACAAGGCCGAATGGCTTTGCAGGTTTATGAATTTTAATGTTTTTGTTGAAAATGTTCACGACCGATTCTGAAATACTTTTGGTTCAGAAATAAAAATTTAATAATAATCAAAGCCTTTTTTCTTAAATTGCAGATATTTAACGTAGAAATTCTGCATATATTTATGATATTTGAGCAGGTATAACAATTTTTAGCTTCAGATTATGAGTTTAAGTTTTTTCTAAAAGTAACACTTAATAAAAAACAAATGTCATTTAAAACCACTTCAACAATTTACAAAATTACAAACGTACTTAATCGTATAACAGACATTCATATGTACTTCTAAACAGTTTATTTATAATAAAGCTACTTTTGTACATGGACCGACACTTTTGTCACAATCATGATTCACTTTTCCCCGCTTCATCGGGGCTCTTTCGGGGCAGGAGAAGCGCCAGGACAGCGCAAATATACATCGCTCCACAAACGATATAGAAGTTCCATTCACAGTGATGAGTCATCAGGGCGCCAGCCACATTGGCACCTACAACACTACCCAATCGGCCCACCATAAGTGATATACACACAGCCATTGCTCTAGAAAAATAAAAAAAATCAATATAAGCAACATTGAAAGCGATGACTTCTCCAGATTCCAGCTTACCGAAGATGTGTCGGATACAAATCGACTGTAGCAGCACTGAGCACATTAATGGCCACGCCTACTAAGAAAAATAGCACATAAAGGTAAGCAGCAATAGATGGATCAGCTATAAAAATGGATGTTAAGCCACAGGATGTGAAGAATATTGAAGTGATGACTAGAAAAAATAGTTTTGATTACAATTTATAAAATTATATGTACCCCTGTGGTCAGCTGATTAAATTTAGTGACATTTTGACGAGTTTTTGCTATCTTTCCTTTGTTTATTTAATGTTTTTTTTTTTTGTAAAAGTCTAGGACGTTATATAATCAGCACGATATATGTAAATCCACATTTCAAACCTTGTACGAAAATTATAAGAATTTAACAAAATTTACCAAATACACCCTAAAGTTTCGATGTTTTTATTTAGAATTTTTATTAAAATTTCTGGTATGCAGTTTTATAGTTTTGAAAATTATCATTGAAAATTATTAGTGATACAGGCGACCATTTTGCATTTTGTCGTCAAAGTCGAAAAAGTGGGATTTTCAATCAACTACACAGTTTTATTTGATTATTTATTTCATTTATTTTTAAAATCAATAAGAAAGATATATCATTACAGTAAATTTTGAGCCTAAGATAGTGAAGCGCAAATTATATATTATTGTAAAGAGCACATAAATACCTTTTTAACTGTAGGCCATTTATGTCGATTCTTTACGTCTAATTTTTAAAAAATAACTGCAAAAAGTATAAAAAAAATGTTTTTTGAAAAAAATCTCGAAAACGCTTCTTTGAAAAATTGGTATTGTTTTCGTGTCAACGTTTGCCTATAAAATAATCAGGGCTATCACGGAATCCATCGTAGAGAATCTACGAATTCAAATGCCCGCTACGAATACGAAAAATTGCTATCAGTGAATCCGAGTGAACTCGAAAATATCGTTGCCAGTTTCGAATGCTGATTAGAAATCAGTTAGTGCAAAGGACAAAACAGACATTTATACATGTCATTTTGCTCACGCTGCCCCATTAGGCGCAATGGCCGAGTGTGCAAAGTACTAGACTGCCAATTGAGAGAACCGAGTTCAAGTCCAAATCGTGGGGCAGTGGAGATTTTTTTATTTTTTTATTTAATTTTTGTTTACTTTTTAATAAATATTTTGTTTTTATTTTATTTTTCTTAGATTTTATTATTTTAAATAAATTTTATTTTTAATAAATTTTTATGATATTAAAATAATTAGGTTTATTTCCTAATAAATTGTTGCTAAACTATTATTTCCTCGATTCATACAAAATATTATATAAAAATATATGCGTATCTGCGCTTAAAAATAGTATGGAGCTGTAGGCGAAAAACTTTATGTGTGCTTATGAATAGTTGTCGATAAAATCAAAATTAAACGTTAAGCGTAGATGTATATGCGTGTAAAAAAAACACGGCTAATTATTTATTAAATAGCGTCTAGCAGATGAATGCGTGTATGTACATATGTATGTATGTATGGCATTGGTATTTTACGTTTACGTTTACACAAATATATGGAATTATATCAAACCTTAACAAATTTGGAGTATAATAAATATTTAATATTAAAAATAATGCAGCTTTCTTCCACTATTTCTAAGATTGAGTGATTTTAAATTTTGTTCCGACAGCATAATCTCGTCGTAGAGTATCTGTACGAATCTTCATTACGAACGGATTCAATGAAGGCTCTCTACGAATTTCGAATTTACGTTCGTAGCCATTCGGATTCTGTGATAGCACTTTCGTAGATTTCACGAAAATCGAAGCTACGATGGATTCTGTGATAGCCCTGGATATATTGAAGATGATCACTTTTCGTGTAAGCTATTGTAATTTATTTATTTATTCATTTATTTATATATTTAGTCTACTGAACAGTTAATTTCTTACAGACTAAGGACAGATGCTTAATTAAAGATTCTAAAGAGATTACGTCTAAAATTAGCAAAGGAAGTATTAAAATCTATGAGAGAAGAATAAGTGTTACAAAACCGGATACATCTTGTTATCGGTTCATTAATGCCATAATTTACAACATGCGTTGATCGAGTATTTCTTAAATTACGTGCAGGAATGTGAGCCTTAAAAAAGTTTACCTACTCCCACAGTTAATTCTATCATTTTTTAGATTATAAACAAGGAACAGGGAAGCACATGTTCTTCTGTCTTGTAGCGATTGTAGTCCAAGAAGCTTGCGTCTACTTATGTAGGGCGGATAGTTCGCAAACCCGAATATTTTAGAAAGAGCAAGCTTTGTAAACACTTTTTGTACTCTTTCAACTTTCTTTGTACTGACTGACTAGAGAGCAGTACTCTAAATGTCTTCTAACTAGAGAAGTATACAGACTTTTTAGAGTTAGAGGGTCTCTAAAATCCGAGGGTCTATAAGATCGAAATGCTTGACAAAGGTAAGCTTACTGTCAAATATGACTCCAAGATATTTTATTTCTGTAGTACGGGTTATAGTTAAACTACTTAATAGTAGTAATAGATTAAGAGTTCAGAATTATATATACTGTTTTGGTATTTTTATACTGTGAAGGTATATAAATATTTGCAAAATTGTCCTGCATTTTCAATACATATTTATGGTCACCGAAATTATAATATGCACAAAGATACAAGTTAAAATATTATTAAAATTTTACTATGAAGTTTTTTTTTGATTTAAAACATTAAATATGCATATATATTTAAAATAATAATCCATTTGTATGTATTGCTACGATTTTTTATTTTTTACTACGCAATACAAGATGCTAGAAAATCGCGTTGATTTTTTTAAATTTTTGTTTGCTGACGGTGCTACACATTTTCTTCCAAACAAAATAAATTTTCAAGCATAATTTATAAGGAGGAAAATGCACAACATCAATTAGAAAAGTTATTCAAAATCAACGCGTTTTCTATCGTCTTCAAATTTAGACTTATTCCACTGAAATTTATTGGACTATAAAACTGCATACCTAAAGTTTTTCTAAAAACCGAATAAAAAGTTTTAAATTTTTGCGTGTAATTGGTAAGGTTTGTTGAATCTTTAACATTTTTATACAAAATTTAAAATGTGTATTTATATTGTGCTGGTTATATAATGTGCTATACTTTTATAACAAAATAGTAAACATTAACTAAACAAATGAAAAATAGCCGAAACTGGTCAAAATGTGACTTGACTTAACCAACCAACCACAGGTGTATGTTTGTATGTACTTTAGAGCTTAATTTTTAGGCCTTGTTTGCATTTGTTAATGCCTGTGTTGCCATGTGGTAATTTTGTCACAGAAATGCTGCTTATATTTTCGATTCTGACTCGTGAAATGTAATGGTGTTTGTTAAATTTTGGTTATATTAGCATTGCATTTTTTTTAATTCTTACGTTCGGCCTTTAAACTTTTATAGTTATTTCCATGATACAAAAAATAAGGTAGTTTCAATAAACAACTTTTGACGGATAATAAAATTTTTTGAAGTTTCGTAAATTGTGAGTATTATCAACGGCCTTGCCACTTTGATAATATTAAAACAATAAATCGGAGGATTTTCTTTCCCATATTTATACCAATGTAATAACATTTCAAATCCAAAACTATTATCAGTGCTTGGTACTTTTTTTACTTACGTGGTTCGCACCTTTTTTTATTCAAAAAATTTAAAATGTAAACTGTTAAATGAGACTTCATGGCAATTGTTGTTTTCATTTTGTAATAAAAACCACGCGCGCATTATTCTGTTCTTTTTTTGTTATCTTACTTGGAATGCAATCTTGCGATTTAAAAATCGAATTCTAAAGAATGTTCTTCCCAAATAAAACCTTTTTATATTTCCGTTCAAATTTGCTTTTGAATTTCTTATAAGATTTTGCAAAAAATTAGGTTTTGTGATTAGCGCTCATCATTAAATTTCACAAATTTTTAATTTATGCAAAACACCTGAAGTCGGCTTTAACAGACCGCCCTTCGATAAACAACTAACAGATCGTCGTTTAAAGTACAAAACCGCGTATCAACAGAATGCACAACTGCGTATGTGAGGTTGCGTAAATTATTTTGTAGAGAGTAAAAACACTTTTTTTTACAAAGAAATCGCATTGCAGGACAAATGGATAAGGCTTGAGCCAAGAGCTTGTGTGAGCAAATCTAATTTTTGGCAAACAATGTCAGTTACGCGGTTTTGCAGAACGACGATACGCTTTAGTACTTTAAGCGACGATATGTAAGTATACCAGTGATCGGGCTTCTACCACATTGTGGTAGATCTGCCACTTTTTTGAGCATCTACCACATCTACCACACAAGGTCTGAAATCTACCACATATTCGCGTTTTTGAGATCGTAGATTTATTTTTGCTCGACATAATTTTCTTAATTTTAAGAAAAAAAAATTTCCAACACTAAACACTATATGGTAACAAAAATGATATAATAAAAGATTCCGCATTCCCGGCGGCGATGAAATTTCTCAAGCAAAAGTGAACAAAGCCGAACGGGAGGATACAATAAACTGTAAAATAGTAAATTTTCTCAATAATACATTCTTCGACAGGAAACGTGATTTTATTGTGGTAAATTTCAAAATATTTTATTTATAAAAAGAATTAATGGCGAAAATGTTAAAAACGGCGTTTAGCAAATTTCAGGGGTGGGCTTTAGAATTCAGCCGCACCTTTTGTTTTAAGAAAACCAGGTGGAATTAACAAATGAAACTTGGACAGGATGTTAAGGGAGGTATCCTCTAAAGCATTATAACTAAAAAATATAAACAATATAATTGTCTATAAGTTATTTGTTGTTAAAATTCCTTAAGTCGTTCCACTTGATTTCCTTATCAAAGAGTGCACTTGTCACATACTTTCATATATATAAATGCACATAACACTACCTAATAGTTAACACACTTTTATTTTATTTTATATTGTATATAAATCACTTTAATCCAACTTTTATTAACTTGTAATTACATTACATTGCACCCATATTTACAATAACACATGGTTGCAAACTGACACATAAGGTGTGCCATACCGTGCAGACCAATACAATAGAAAGAATTCTACGTAGTGAGGGTTATAATCCCTAAGTGCGGCCGCAGGCCGCCTACGCAGAAAGGTGTTCTCTGCAAAAGTTGTTCAGCCCCTCTTCTTCGGCAACACAGAAAGGAGAATTCTACTAAGTGAAAATTCCGAATTAAAAATCTGCTTTTATTATTCAAAATGCTAGTCTGGAAGCATCAAGTTTGATGTTATTTTGCTATCTTATTCATCGTTTATACGTAAACTTTACCAACAAATTATATAAAAACTATAGGGTTGCTAGAAAAAACGGGGGTATTTTTGAAATCAGGGAGTCCTATTTTACCTCCCTCATCCACACTTATTCTAGAATTTGCCGTCCGCATACTAAAATTTTCCCAATTTCAGTGCTTCTAAAGTTTCTGATCCGTTGTTTACTTTTACTTGAGAACTGCCGAAATCGGCAAATCCCAAGTAGCGGTTTCTAGAACGTGCCACATTTGTTCGCTACATCGTGATGTGATAAAAAGAAAAGCTGGCAGCACTCCGCAAGGTTGCAGAAATCTCTCAAAATATATTCGAAAAATATCTTGATATAGAAGAAATTGCTTTACACTGTTAAGGAAAAAAATTGCCAAAACTCAACGCAAAATTTATTTATTTATTTATTTATTTTCTTAGTGTCTTATTTAAAAGTTTGCAATTTAGGTGAAACCTTGCAGTTTTTTTTTTTAAATTTTGTACAAAGTTTGATCCAAAACCTGAGATCTACCACATTGTTTTGAAATCTACCACATTTTTTTCCAGATTCTACCACACCGAATTTTTTTTTAAGTCCGATCACTGAACCCCATTTTCGAAATCATGTAGCCGGTATAATTTTCTAATTCATCATATTCCACATCTTTGAATGTACTGATAAAATCTTCTGCTTAAAAAAAAATATTTCTTCTAGTGATCAGGTAGCATGAATTTGATAAAACTTCATAATTTTATTAAAAGTCAAATGGTTAACAACAACAACGAATGTCATTAAATGAAACTACCTTCTTTTTTGTATCATGGTTATTTCTGTGACACTATTTTCCTTACTTCTATTCTTTACTTGACATTCTTAAATGAACTAAGAATTTCAAACATGGACGATTTTATTTGAATTAATAAAAAGAGAAATGGCTTTAAGCGCGCAACCTTTTCCTATACTTAAACAAAGTCATGTAACTTTTCTGTTGTTTTAGACCATAGCCCATCGTATGGCACCACAGGCTTTTGTGTCTAAAAATTAAAATCATAGGCCTTAGGTACATAAATATGTTCAGACTTACAAAGAATTAATATTTTTCCCACACGATTTATTATAAAACCAATAAATGCAAATGAGCTGGCATAAAGTATTTCCATAACAAGCGAGTAATAATAGGTAGTGTTCTCCAATTTGTCAATACATTCGATGGTCTGGAAGTGCAAAGAATATGGATTTAATAGCAATCAATTTCGAAATTATTTACGTATGTATGTATATATCTGCATGTATGTAGGTTTGTAGTTAAGCATGTATCTGATTTCAGAAAGAAATTTCACTCACTCCATCCATCTTATAAATGCTTTCTTGTTGTTCATAAACAATTTGACAGATTTGTTTGTGTTCACCAGGATGCTCATTAATAAATGCCGCCACGCTGTTAATAATATGTGGAAACCACATATAGAGTCCATTAGTCACTACATACAACCAAAATTGCATATTGCAAACGATCATTGTAATACGCAAATATTTCCGCTGAAATAATGGTGCAGTTTGATTCCACATTGTTTGCAAAAATAGTAGGGCGAAATTTGAATTCGATTCAAATTTATTGTTAAATTGTAATGTAGTAATCGTGGTGTCATCATCTGGCAGAATATGTGTAATCTGCGATATGTGTAAATAAAAAAAAATAAATTTTGTTTAAAAAATTTTTAATTCAGTTTAGCAGTAGCGTTTTCTTACAACGAGTGGTTCTTTGCCACTGTTCCAGCGATGCATTTTCTGGAGCACCTCAATTGCTTTGTTCTCATCACCAACAGCGAGTAAAAATTTAGGACTCTCGGGCAAAGCAAATAAGGACAAACCACACAGTAATCCTGGTATGCCACAGACGATCAAAAACAAACGCCAAGGCTTATAGTCGATGCCAAGAAAAGTTAGCGGTAAAACCCAATCTTGGTTTATGACTAAAAAGGCGATAATCGGCAAAATCATTGCTCCGATAGCGAATATGACTGAAGATCCCATAATTGCTCGTGAACGCGTCTTATCTGAGTGAAACTCTCCGAGATAGGCATAAATTGTTGCAGAGCCTGCTAGACTGTAAGAAAGTAAGGTAATGCTTAATGTATTCTTAAAACATTTCCATTTGTACGTAACACAAAATTTAAATTTTGAAATAATGCTGTATATTATTAAAGGTGCGATACTTTGAAAATTTGGGTCCGAGGTTTTGAAAGTTTTGTACACGCCATTTTTGAAGCATTAGCGGCTAAAAGACTACACAGCAGAAAGTTTATTACAATATTGCTAAAAAAATAATAATGGTAAATCTGAAAAAAGTTAAAAAAGGTCACTTCGAAAAGTAGACGAGTAATGTGATATTGGATGATCTTGAAATATCGTAATACTATACTTATCACCAAAACAGCAATGAAGTTAAAAAAGAACAGTTAAAAATATAAAATTATCGAAATGGCAAATATAAAAACTAAGAAAAAGTACAGCATGCCTTCAAAAGGTAAGTAAATTTAATTTTTATTCATAAAACTAGCTATAATGCTATTTAAAAATTAATATCTGAAGCATGCCCCATTAGCCGCCGATGCACAGTGGTTCAAAACTGGAATTTACTGTTCACAATTCACTGAAGCCTACATTTTTCACTCAATTTGATGTTTGAGTTTTTGTTGTTTGTATTAAATTTTTTAATGCAAGGTGCAGAAAAAGTAGCAATTTTGAAGAAACTCGATTCTCCTGTTCCAGTTGATAAATGTTACGTAATAAAAACGAGTTGAAAACAATTATAGGGTTCCCCGAAACGAAAAAAAAATTAAAAAAAAAAATTGAAATATTAAAAAATTCACCAAATTAAAAAAAAAAAATTCAGTTACTAGAAAAACGTTGGGTATGGAGTTGTATAGATCATTAAATTTGGCTAAAAGGCATAAGTGCCGTTTTTCCGTATGTGTTGTGTACATGTTTATTTCTAAACATATGCGTTCCTTTTCTTTTGTACGTGTTTATTGTTATATCTGTACTGTAATGTTTTCGGACGGTACTAGCTCTTACTGCCAATATAGGAGTAAATATTACCTATGACAACCTAAATATAAAGACAAAGAGGAAGGAAAATTTAAATACCTAGCCTAATAACAATGGTGGTGGTGAATATGTAAATGAAGAAAATAATTCAGATATAGATCAGGATAAAGGAAAAGATAAAGATGAAGACGAAGATGAAGATGAAGATGAAGATGAAGATGAAGATGAAGATGAAGATGAAGATGAAAATGAAGATTGAGATTGAGATGAATACACACATAAACATAAAAAACTATAAAGACAAAGATACAGAGGAAGAAGGTGATAGGGATACAAAAGGAGATACAACTGAAGAATGTGTGATGTTATGTTATGGTGTGTTATGTTGTTTAATATTATGTTATTGTACGTTATGTTATGCTATGAAATATTATGTTATGCTAAGTACTAAGTTGAACTCCCCTCCACTTAATCTTTAATTAGGCGCATGGGGTCGAGGCCATTTCAAGTTGAAAAAAAATGCCTTGAAGTGCTTTGAGCGTGCTCGCGCTCTGTCTAGCTTCCTAACTCCACGCAGGGTACGTAAATACGTCACTCCCAGAACATCGGCGTGTACGCATGTGTCGCTTCTCTTTTAAGTCCTGACCCCATGCGACCACTTACGTAACTTTTTTTGGCGTAGGTAAGTTGTTATTTTTTTATCTAAGTTTGAAGTTAAATTTATGCTTTTCTTTCTTAAAGTTAACTACAGTGAGGAGCTTTAATATTTATGACAATATACATTTCGTTTTGTTTATTTAGTTAGGTTAGAACATCGTCGTGTAAACATGTGTCGCTACTCGCTTGAGTGCTGACCCCATGCGACCACTAACATAACATTTTTTGGCGGAGGTTAGCTTTTAATTTTTTCTTTAAGTTTGAAGTCGGAATTATATTTTTATTTTTTTAAGTTAACGATAATAGAGTACTTCAATATTTTTGTTAATACACACTTCTTCTTCTTCTTATTTGGCGCTGTAACCGCCTAAGCGATTTTGGCCGAGTCCAAAACAGCACGCCAGTCATTTCTCTTCTGTGCTAACTGACGCCAATTGAAAATGCCAAGTGAAGCCAAGTCCTTCTCCACCTGGTCTTTCCAACGCAGAGGAGGCCTTCCTCTTCCTCTGTTACCAGCATCGCGGCCCGCGTTGAATATTTTCAGAGCAGGAGCGTTTCTGTCCATCCGAACGACATGGCCAAGCCAGCGGAGCCGCTGAATTTTAATTCGCTGC